TTTTAAAGTTCGTTATGGTATACTATAATGCATTTTGCCTAATATGTTTTGCACTCGATTTAGCCTCAATAACTAGTGTACTCAACCTTGTAATGCGGATGCAATGAATGATTGAATGATGTCATGTCTATTGTTGGCTAGTAGGTTTTTAGATCCTAATATTATACTGTGTTTGTCGGCGCCGATCTCGGTAACGTCGGTGTGGTGGTCGGAACCATTGGTGTGGTATTCGGTTTTTCTAGTTGTAGTGTGGTCCATTTTTTCTTGTTTTGACTGTTTTTCGTCCTTTCAAAGTGTGTGTGAGAGTGAGGGGTATTTTTGCCTTTTAGTTTTTTAAAATGATGTTTTGGATTTTTTTAATACTATTTATTGGTCAAAGGCCAAAGTTGAAATATAGTTTCTTTTGATGGCCATTAATACGTTTTTTGCTCAATTTCACTTAGTATATAATCGTTTTGATTTCCAATTTCACACCAATGGGGAAGGTAAGGGTAAAATGTCGTTTGAATAAGTACTACCACTTAGCAAATGAGCATGGCCACGGATCTCGAGCCGCATGGAAGCTGGTTCAACTTGATTCAATGTTCGGTTTTCTCCGTTCGGCCGTCGAGAAGATGCCCGTCGGGAGTGTAGCAATCAACGTCGACTTCGACCCGATTCGACCAATCTGCGACGCCATCTCCGTACAGGATGATATCACCCAGGATAGTGTAGAGCGTTGGTTAAGAAATTCATGGTAGAGAATGGATGCAAAGCTTTCCTCGTGGTGCTGTACGACGGCTAGCCTAATGTTGGTGGTGCGTGGGCTAGGGAAGCTACCAATCAGAATGCTCTAGTGATTGACTCGGTTAAGCTTGCTACGGAGCTTTTGGCTCCCAAAGGAACTTTTGTCACCAAGGTTCATGTTATATGTATAATTTTACATATTTATTATCTATATATAATTCCTTGAATTTGATTTTTTTAGCAAAATTAACATTGGCTTTGATGCCGCATAAGGTTTAATATTACTGAGAAAAATTAATTGTGCATATGACACAATAACAGTGACAAGCACTCAAGTTGAGGAAATTTGAATTAAGTTCTTTTAAACTTTATCATGTGCACCAAAAATGGGGATGGTAC